AGTGAATAAAGAGGAGTTGATGATCTTTTGTTGCTCCTTCTCGCATTGAGATAACCTTGACACATTTCCCTGTGACTCAGTTTGCTTCCGCATTTTCCGTAGCAAGTGCAGGAAAGTGTGGTCCGTGCATCATTTGAAAAAGAAGTGTTTTGTTTTACAAAGATATGAGTGGTAAGTGTGCTTGCCATTGCTGCACGAGCCATGTAATTTCTTCAATGACGTTCATTCTGGGAGAAGTGGGCAATCATTTCTTTTGTTGATGAGAATGTCTGTGCAATTGTGCCGAGCTCTAGGGTCAAGAATGGCAAATTTTTTTGGTCCTGAAAGTGGCAATTGCCGCAGCTTGATTAAAAAGCTGGTAGAATCAGATAGAGGGTGGCCAACATACCTTTGTCGAGTCCTACAAATAACTGGTGAGTTCCTTTCAGTGTCATTGGTTCAATCTTACCTGGTTTTCTTTCTTACCATGCTTCACAATTTTTTTAATATTGAGTCAGAGTTATGACGTTATGTATGACTCCAAAGACGTTAAGGTGCAGGATAACTTGGGAGATTCGGACCACAGCGCGATCACGTGGAATATGAAGCGTACGAAGAGTAGCGTCAAACCGTGGAAGGTTTCGTGCAACTATGAGTTGGCTAATTTCAAGAGAATACGCGAATGCATTTTGGGCATCGAATGGGAGATGAGGCTCGCTGGGCTGACGGTAGAGGAGCAACGGGGGGATTCAAGAAGCAATTGCCGGGCAGCGCGCCCCAGGGCGCACAGGAGATAACACAGACTATGAGGAATATGGGAGAATCACGCGAACATTTAAGCGGGAAATTGGATCTGCGAGACGGGAATCGAGGAACGGCTGGGATAGTGAAGTTAAAGGTAGGCAAGGAAACAGCTAGGGAAATATCGGCTCCGCTAAGAATTATATTAGAAAGCAGCTTTTCGCGCGGGGAAGTACCTACGGACTGGAGACTAGCAAATGTCGTAACGACCTTTAAGAAGGACGAAGAGAGTCATCCAGGAAATTAAGGGCCTGTAAGTCTCACGAGTATCCCAGGGAAGATCATGGAGACCATACTAGGGACCATCTCTTGGATTTCCTCGAAGGAAACGCACTCATTCGGGACTCTCGACACGGGTTTAGGAGGCGTCAAAATTGTCTCACCGATTTGCTCGAATTCTACGACAGGGCGACGGAAGAGAGGGATCATGGGAATCCCGTGGACATCGTCTATTTAGATTTCGCGAAAGCTTTCGATTCCGTTCCTCACAAGAGGTTGCGGGTTAAACTGGAGGTGCACAGGATCCTCGATAGGACGAGCGAGTACATCAGTAGCTGGTTGGCAGGACGAGAGCAACGAGTGATGATGAATGGGGAAGCGAAGGAGGTCGGAGTCGGTTGGTCTTGAGAGACGAGTGAAGTGGGACGCCCTTCGCAATGAGGGAACTCGTGGCGAGAGAACTTGATGATCTATCCTTGAATTTGCTAATAACAGAACGTTTCAGGGAAAGACCCACCCACAATGTACTTGTATTTAGTCATTCTTTTTCTTTTTCCCAAGTTCGTCGTCAGGACTAGGAAATGACGGATTGGTTTAACAGTATCTCTTTTCTCTACTTTTATTCTCCTGTGAAGTACTGTACAATCTCACGTTTTAGGAAAGGTTTTTCTTTGTTGAGAATATGAGCTTGTTTTTTTTTCATGCTTTCCCTAAAACAGTCACAAAAATGCGAATAACAGATGAAGAAGTGCCGTGTTCCATGATACCTGTTAGCAGGCTCGGCGAGATATTTGACCTAGTAGTAAAGTTTCTTTTGAGGGGCATGGGAGAATGACACTTTTGGTTCCGTTAAATGAGACCTCCGTCTGCTTCTAGTGACCAGGAGTGCGACTTATCTATTCCCTAATACTTTCAAGACAATATATCTTCCAAATGTTGTCGCTACGTTGTCAATGTTAAGAGTGGCGACGCTTTCTCGATAGGGATAACAAAGTTTGCAGAAACATTCGTGGAAGTGTGACAGCAACAGTCTTATTCCTCGAAATGGAAGAAAGATGAGGAAATGTTTCGTCAATGATGTAGATCAACTTGCGATGTATAGCAACATGCGCCAATATTTCGAAAATGTTTCATCAAGTGTTACTTAGGGATTGACTGGTGATATCCTGTTATATCCAGAGTACAGGGTAGGGATTGACATCGATCTGCAGGGTAGCAGTTCCTCGACAGGTAGAATGCCTCTATAAATGCTTTTCCATTGACAGTCAATATCAAAAAGAGAAGTGTCAATTAAAAAATCATATTTCCATGTTCATTTTGATATAGGCTTGAATTAAAATATTTCAGATAAAATGAATAAACAATTGTTGTCGTGTGCATTATATCAGCGCCCGCATGACAATCGCATAGGACTCTTGCCACACAATATCATTTAATATAGAAAAGATGAGAAATTGGTGAATGCATATTTGAAAGGGAAATACTATATATATCGACATACTTCGACGATATCTCAACAGATTTATCCCTGATGCAGCTGCAAAATTTGCACATTACCTACAGGGGCCACATAGAACCGATCCATCTCTTTACTTTTGCAAGGTGTGAACTCAGATAGTGTTCAAACAAAGAATGAAATGGGAAGAATATGATTGGAGTGGGTTGGGTTAGAGTGGACGAGTCCGTAAGCTCGAGTATTTTTTATCACGAAAAATAACTCAGACCTGTAAATTGTCATGGCAATCAGTTCAACTAAAAATTCCAAACACAACAAGCGAGACTCAACCCAATGAGTCTATTATCACATCCGAAAAAACTGAACATATAATTGAGAAACTTTCCATCTGCTTCCAAGACGGAAAAACAACACCTAAGAAATAAGAATGTGTCTTTCAGAAAGATAAATTCACAACAATTGGGATACTCGGACTACAAGAATGCTTAGTGGAAAAAAGAGGACCAGTCTTATGCCTGTGCCAAACGTGCTGTCAGACACCACACAAGTGCAACCAGGGTCGCGAAAATGCCGTTAAACGCATAATTGATGCCATCATCTGATTTTCTTCATAAAGTGGGGATATCTTCTGTTGCTGCATCATTTTGGAAGCTAGGGCTTCCCCATTCTCCATTTTGTATTTATGCTTTATGAATCTCACTGCACCGTGCGCCGAAATAGGTAGTGTCCATTGACTATATATGAACAGAATTCATATGACGTGATAAAATAAAAAAAATATTAAAAATGAATGCTTTAAGTACTCAATTTTACATAGGAGGGAATAGTCTTTTACTAAACGGTACATCGATACCCTTTATGCCAAGAGGATGAGTGCAACAAAAAGCAATCAACAAACCTATGCTAGTGCTTCCGAACATATATGGGAATGGTTTCCCAGAAAACCAGAACACAGACTCAATGTCACACTACGCTAATGACAACTCTATGGTAGAGTGATCAAACAAATATAAAGAACTCTGCACGACAATAATGCGGAAAAAAAGCGTAAACGTGCGGAAATACCGAAGTAGCCATGGGTGATCCAAAAACTCTTGGAGGAGACATTTAGTCATACAGTACTTTTCTGAGGAAGATTTACTCTTGATGCGCAAGCATCCATGAGGGAATTTCTAATGGATTTATTTTAGATCAAATTGCTATTAGGGTAGAGAGTAAACAATTATTGGGCAGTCAATTCAATCAGGTTAATCGACCGAATAACCGATTAAAGTGTTATTCGCGATATAAAAAAATAGCCGACATATTTTTTTTAAATCGATCTTTCCTTGAATGCCTTCCTCCATTTTTCCCTCATAATAGAAGTGGGTAGTTCATACTTTTGCAAAGCAAAGAAAGTAATGCTTACTCATAGGAATAAGGTACACAGTAGCTTACAGGAGGTAGATAGGAATTCGTTCTATCACTGCTCACTCTTTCTATCAGATATGAAAAATACCAATTCTTGAAAATGGGAACACTCAAAAACGAGGCCGAAACTGTCAATTATTGCAAATAAGAAGCTTCCTGACCCCGTGCCATCCAAAAGCGTTCTGGAACTCATCCTGTGTCCTGCCTAGCCTACAACATTCATGGAAATAGTTTTGTAGGCTTCGAGCGTTAGACGACGCCTGCAAAGTTTTACAGCACCCTAGGGCAGAGAGACTGAATGGTCACAGGATGGAAATGGGGAAAAGGAAGTCGTAATTAAGAAACTACATAATTTTGTTCGAGTGACAGCCCTAAGAAACGCAAAACACCGGCAATTATGTTTCAAAAATGATCACCATGTAGGAGAACATGCAGACATCGTCTGTCATGATACATCCTAATGTGGATCAAATTGCGTGATTCCGACGGTGAGGCCAAAAATAATCAGGAATCGCATAGCATGGCCAAAACCTAGACGGGCTGAAGCATCGACTCTTGCGGTTCCAGGACACTTCTTCTAAGACACTTCAACGCCACCTCTTCGACAAGACGTGCAATTCTGAAAGGTAGTTTACAGGCGAATTTCTGTGGGAGCCCCCCAAAGGAACAAGAGAGGGGGAATCTGGGGGCATGCGCGAGAAGTGGAAGCGAAAAAGTGACACTCATTTTCCTCGTTAGCTAATATTTCTGCTCCTCCATTCTGGGATCCCTGCAAATTGTTTTAAAATCGACCTTGAGTCGGTATGTTGGTGAATGATCGAATAACCTTCACTCTCATTGAGGAAAAAGATGAATGGAAAGCCAAGTGCAAAACGAGAACATCGGGGTCTCAACAAGATCGTCCAATAGAAACATGGGAAAAGGGTTTGATGAAAACACTCATTCCCATTGCTGACTGTTTCTGTCATAATTTGCATATCAATGAGTAGAGGCGCAGGTGAACATGATGTGTTCTAAGGGCAGAGAAGGACACCACAAGATAATTATCCATCACACTGTCATCAAAGGGTGTAAAACAGCGACCTCAAGTTCAAGTGGATCAAATAGTTTCTTCTCTCTAATATCATTGAAGTATTCAGCAGAATTCGATGTCACAAAATTCCCAATCTAGATCCCTACTAGCTCCGTTAAAACACCAAGGCCCCTCCGGATTGTTGCCAGGATTCCGACAAAAGTTGTGAGAAGGATGCAAGTCGTCCGGGAATAATTCTCGTGCAAGGAACGAATCTCTCTCCGATATGTCATTTGGTAAAATGCTCATCCACAGCTGGCAAGGATTGCCTGAATTCGTGACATTCTTCGTTCCAATATACGCGAGACCTCCTGTGTTTTTCTTGCACTGCAATGGACCTAGATTCAGATAAAAACAAAGGAGGAATATCACGCAAAAATAGGTAGGAAAATTTATGGAAGAAAGGTTCACAAAGGAAAGGAAACCGACTCATGCATTCTCCCGAGACACGAATATCGCATCGTTCTCCTTCTGTCCGGGGACAAAAGGGAACATCACAGTACTCCCAGCGATGCTCAAATTCCTTCAAATAGCACCATGGACCATGGGCGGTGTTATCAGGGTTGCGGCAAAAATTGTGTCTCCCGTCAATTTCGTCAGGAAATGCCGATAGATATTCCTTAATCTTTTCGTGAGAATGAGGATATACACTAAGCCAATGTTGGCATCGAAATCCCGATATGGTCGTATTCCTCCTTCCGACATACTCACCGCCTCTTGGTGTCAATTTGCATTCGGGCGGTTCTAAAAGAGGATAGAAATGCACTCAAGTTTTGAAGCAGGCAATTTCATAACAATTGTATTGAGGGACACACCAAGATAATGACATAAGGGAATGTCGCAGTATTCCCACTCGATGTCTGGTTCAGAGACGAAGCACCAAGGCTTTTCCCTGTACAGAGCATGGTTCCGGCAGTAATTTTTGTGGATTGTTGGGTCTGCATAGATGAAGTGATCCGAATATCCCATTTCCTGGTTGAAGAAATCCCACGGCATACCATACTGATTTTTTTCCCAATCCACACAAGGCTTTCCCGTCTCGGTCACACTTTTGGTCCCCACATATTCCTTTCCTTTCTCTGTCAGTCTGCATTCGGGATATACATTCCCCTTGGACCCACCTTGAACTTCTCGGACCTTGCAGAAGGGGATGTCACAGTATTCTTTGTCAAGATCTTCACCTTTAATGACACACCAAGGAGCAGCATCGCCATCAGGGTTACGACAGAAGTTGTGCGACTCCCCAGTTTCTCCGTAATCCGGAAATGCCGGTAGGAAGAATGTCTCGTTTCCCGTGATTGTTCTTCTCCAAGGTTCCATCCATGCTTTGCACGCGAACCCTGAATGGCTCACGTTCATTCTTCCAATGTATTCACCGCCCTGTTGAGTTACCTTGCACTCTGGAGGATCTGTGAGAAATGAAAGGCTAAATGCATGTTCGTGATAGCCTCACAATCTCATTGGATGCATGATTTGTTATGTACGAAGTTATTATTTCAAGCGATAAATATATGGAAATGAAAAGGAAGCGCCCAAACCAGGATTTAAACCATCTCTTAAATATCTGCTTCTTGTTTATTAGTAGCTTTGTCAACAATTTAGGAAGAGAAATTAATAATGATTTAATCAAGTCTTGGTATCCAGTCGATGCCTGCCGGAGTTGAAAGATGCAATTCCACAGCAAATCCAGGGAAGGAGCATATGCTGTAGTCCCTGAGGACACACACAGAAAATTCAGTGCCTCGGTTCGATGCATTTTTCTCGCGAAAAAATCTGTCCTGCATGTGGTGCGTCTTTATCGCATCGAATGTTGGATGCGATAATAGACGCATCACATAGAAGAAAACTTTTTTATCGACGAAATGCATTAATTTGATTTTCGTGTATAGGTCAGATATATTATTCTTTTCTGCCGCATTGAACATTTCGTGATGAACGTTAGCCACATCGAAATTTGCCTTGCATGTCCTATTTTGGGAATATAGTGGCTTTTGAGCTTAAAACCCTAATACACGAACCTCATTCAGGGGAGACAACAGGACCTTTTGCCTTTTTCTCCAATATGAATCTTTGTATTCTTAAAGGACTGTTAATTATATATAGTTAACAGTCGGATCTCATATTGGCGATAGGTGTTGCACCACCAACGCACCAAACGCGATACAATCACCATATGAAACTGGAATCAAGAATCAAGTAAGAATTAGAATCAATGAAAGGATCAAGTAAGCGGTTAAATGGGAATCCCTTCAAGACGCATGAGCTACTCGCACGGGTCGGAGGGAAGGTGAAGTGGCGAAGAGGCCATGCACTCTGGTGGTTGCTTGTGAATCCCTCGACTGTCAATGCATTGCCCCGAGGGTTCATGGGAGGGGGGAGGGCCTCCTTGGCACAATGAAGTGAAATACGGAGGTTAACATGTGTCTAGACGATGCGCAGCCTCTCAAAACACCCTTCCGACTCGGCTATAGATTCATAATGTTTTTGCGAACGCTTTTCAGGCGACCCGGCGCGGTCGGGAAGCGAGAGATGTAATCGAAAATCCAGTTGTTTTCTTTTCTCTTGAGAAAAATGAATCGAAACGCGAAAATTGAGAAAAGTATTTCATTTCGATTTAACGATTTCTCTGAGTGCATGCTCCTTGGTTTGCATTTCGCCACAATGAGATGGCGGTCATCTTTTTGTACCCCATCTGTGCAGGAGATCTGGACATATTCATCATTCATATTCATCCTTTTCAGTTCAAGTAGAATTCAGCTAAATTCGCTGGAAACGCTTTACAAAACTTAATAACGCGATGAGAATAGGTGCAAAAATTAAAGAAACTAAAAAATAAAAATCCTTCATATTCATTGGAACATTCTGTACATTTCAAAATTAATGACGTTGATGTGGTTAAGGTACATAAATATTTGGCGTTCAAGAAAATATACAACGAAACTGAATTTCTCAGGTGCATCAATCAGCAAGTGCTGGGGGCATATGGAAGAGGACGAGGGGGCTACAAAGGAATAATTACCCTCATTTGTGCACATGGGGATGTCACAGTATTCCCATTCTGTACCTTCGTCCATGATGAAACACCATGGCCTCTCCTTTCCATATGGGTTGCGGCAGTAGTTCTTGTGAGACCAGGTATCCAGGTTGGAAAAGTGCTCAGAAAATGTAACGTTTGCGAGAGAGTCATTGGGTGTTCCGAAATCCTTAGAGTCCCATCTCAGGCACTCCTTTCCTGATTCCGTCTCACTTACCTTCCCGATGTATTCTCTTCCCTTCTCTGTCAAACGGCACTCCGGATACTTATACAGCGTCTTACCTGGAAATAGTAATCTACTTTAGAAAAGCATTAATCAATGCAAACATATGGAACCAAAGATGTATGCATAGTTTAGGTCATTAAGGAATTAAGAATACCTAGTTCTGCCATAAATACTGTTACAAGATATACATGTTCCTTGCATTCTAGCGAAAGAAGCTAGAAACTTGTAACCTGGTAATCGTAGTGTATTATTATATGCCGTATTGTTTGGTAACATTTTGGCTATTGTGTTGCGTGCAGTAAACATGGAGTGGGGTGAGAAAGAGAATCGCATAACAGTGATAGCCCTGCACAAAGTGGGTCAGAAAGCTGCAATCATTTCAAGACTTTGCAGCCACTTGTAATCAGTCGGCAGTTTGTTTACCGAGCTATCAAACGTTACCTGATGCTCAAGAAGTACGAGACCGCCCCAGATCTGGACGTCCACCCACTCCCAGAACACCACGAGTCATCAAAGAAGTTGGCAACATAATTCAGCGAAGTCCTTTACGCAAGCAGAAAGTGATGGCCATGGAAATGGCCATCTCGACCTAAAGCACGTATCGGTTGGTTAAGTCAGACCTAAGGATGGGTGCTTACTGAAGAAGCACAGGACACATGCTGACTCCATCTTTGAAAGAAATCAGGAGGTCGCGATCGAAAGTGTTGCTGCAGAGGTATGCGCAAAACAGACACCTCAATATCCTCTTTACTGATGGGAAAATCTTCACTGTTGAAGAAAAATTCAACTGGGCAAATGACCAAGTGTATGCCCACAACTCTTGGGAAGCTGCAGAAGTCATCCATAAGGTGAAGAGAGGTCACCGTACTGCTTCTGTCATGGTTTGGTAGGGGGTGAGTTATGAAGGTGTCACTAAGCTGCATTTTTGCTAGCAAGATGTGAAGACATCAGCCAAAGTGTACCAGGAAGAAGTCTCAGAGTAGTCAGTGAAGCCTCTCGGCTAAACAATGTCCAATGGGGGCAACTGGATCTTCCAGCGAGATCCCGAACCTGCTAGCAAAGTTAGGACAAGGCAGGAATGCAGAAACCAGCAATGTCCCCGAGTTCATCAAGGCCACCGATTGGCCATCTGGGAACCCAATGGACAACAAACTGTGGGCAGAGTGGGAGCTGAAGGCCAACCACAGAAGACATCCAAATATTGAAAGTCTCAAGGGAGCCCTTGCAGAATCAGCAACCAATATCCAATAGAAGTGGTGCGTACTGCGATGGATGAGTGGTCTGATTGTTTAAAGTCATGTGTGAAGACCAGGGGTGGACATTTTGAATATTGTTTCTGTAATATGTTAGTAATTATATAGGGAAATGAATGCTGTTAGCAAATACAGCGTATGTTTTATATGAAAAGAGTTATTACAAAAAAAACCTTGTAACAGTATTCATGGCAGGACTAGGTATATGTCTATATTTCGAGAGAGCGTCCTTAGCCAAACCTAAAAATGTAATTTATTTTCCAATCTGAACAATTTAGATAAGTTAGATTAGGTTGAGGTTAGGTAAGGCCCCATTTTGGCTTTAAACCGAATTTAATACAATTAATATGTATGTAATCGGTTCCACATGTAAACATGAAATTTTTAATTTTCTTAAATCCAAATGTGTAGTTTCAAAAAGTTAGGCTAGGGTAGTTTTGCTAAAAGTACTTTACTGCGTGCGAATAGCTCGTGCGTCTCGATGTCCTGTGGGACATCTTTCAACATTTCCTTTTCACGTTCAACCTCACCTCGCAAATATCGCGACCATTTTGATCGGAGGAGCGGTCCGTTTGTGCGACGTATGAAAAAAAGAATTTAAGTTATTATTCCCATATTATCAATTTTGATGTGAGATCAGGGAGACAAGGATTTAAATTTCAAGAAATGTACTTTCTTAATGTCATTGAAGGATACACTCAAGATCTGCCTCTCTTACACGCCAGAACACATTCCGTCGCTTGACAAGATTCTCTACGACCGGCTCACTGCTGACTGGTTCTCTTCATGCATTGATTTTTGAGACCTACATACAATTTTGCAGTTAGATGCGTCAAAACCAGCGGTCCAGTAGAGTCCATCGCTGCGACCTTGACCAGCACACTCCCTTTCATTCTTTTTCTTCTGGAAACAGCATGACATTTGAATTCGATTTTTTCATTCATATATGGCACAGGGGATTTTTATTTTCATGTCTTAGCTACCTTATTAAATATGCAAGGACTTTTAAGACTACTTACATGTCACTAAGTCACTTAACACTTGTGAAGAATAAACTTCTCCATCACTGAATATAAAAGGGTAAATATGATTAGCATCAGAATCGCCCAGAAATGTTTACTTTTGATTTTTACTGCTCATCTTTTTCATGTCATCGGTCTAGACAATAATCCTAATTCCAACGTCATATTAGTTAAATTCTAGAAACGGCATTTTATGACACTGTGCCCCCCATATCGGCCTGCAAGATCGGCCATACGTTCCTATTTCTAACTTATTCTCGAATGTAAGCAATCCATTGCTTTCTGTTGTCCAATCTGATGTTTCAGGGTTCATCCATCACCAGATCTTTGACAATTCTGTAGTTAATACCCATCACCAAGGAAAAAAAAGTTTCCTCACCCCTATATGAGCCTTTAGATAAAAAAAAAGGCTTCATGAACTATTCTCACCGTTCGGCAAGATTCCAATTGAGTTGGCATGCATTTTCATATAACATTGAGTTCTTACAGGAAATGGTGCCCTCTTTGAAGGAGCTCCACCAAGTATCAGGTGACGCAGAAGCGCATTCAGCCGTGTGGAGTTGAGAGCCATCGGAGAATCCTGTGGGATGCTGACATCTGAGAATCACCTTTCCACCCGGTGGAGCTGGGAACTTCCCGCTCCAATGCTCAAAGGATACCTCGGCGTTCTGAATCGTGGGATGCTCCGTCAGGCACAGTCCTATGTATTAGAAGAAATTAATTTATTTCCCCAGTTAATTATCATATGGATTGTATTTAAGTCGATGACTCACTTTGAACATAAGCAATAAATCCGTCAGATTCCACAAGGCCACTTGTCTCATTGGAAACCAGCTGGCATGAACCATCGGATTCGCGATAGTTGAAGGCATAGCAGGGAGGCGTCGGTAGAACGCATCGAATGCCGCAAATTCTGACACTTTCGTTTCTTCTTCTTTCGTTTCTTCTTCTTTCGGCTTCTTTCGTTTCTAAGGTGATGTTCTCATATTTCTCGCCCAAATGTACAGCATGATGAGCCACAAAATCAGTTGAAGTCACACCATGTAAAAAGATGAAGGAAATGGCACCGAGGACCACCGGCTTGCTTGCTAGGGAGGAGAGAAGTTTCACAGTCATGACTCCAGTCCAGCGAGTGAACTTGGTTGAATACGTGGCATAGACTACGTAGCTGAAATGTATCGATCAGTTCTACAGAGGCCAAGTTTAATTAGTTTAATGGACTTTCTGCGTTCGAGTGCCCCTGAGTGGATTGGCAAAGCAAGAAACTTCTAATGTCCTCGTGCTATGGAGAGCCTCACCCCACTTCTCAAGAAAAATCCCCTTGCAGTCCACCAGGGGACTATCCAAGTCCCTTTGTTAATGCATTTGTGAAATGCCAGTTACTCATGTAGTCTTGCCTTGGATTACCGTAGTCTGTACCAACGGTGGACTTGTCTACATGGGGACTCATATGGATCTAGGATCCCACCTACGTGGATCCTCTTAATCCGCATGTAATCCAAATTTCGCTTCATCCAAATCCCCATAGTGGACTTAGGGTGGTTCACATGCATGGATTTTCGTGAGGGTCTCATTCTGCAATTTTGCAGCGCCTGAAATATAGCACATTGCAATTTCATATTTTCTTATTGGAAGTGCGTTTGAGTTGAAAGGAAAATATTTTATAATAAAAAACAGCAAATATTCGATCACGTTGTGCATGTTGCTACCGTGAACTATACTTGAGATAGATGGGTAGGAAAAATCGACCGTGTGGGATTCGAAATCTGAAATGTAATTATTGTTGGAGTTCCCGAGGGAAGTGCAAAGAGGAGTTCGCACAGTCTCCTCCGATCCAAAGTTTGGCCAAAAGCCACTGCCAAATTTAGTGCTAGATGGTCATTTGATTTGTCGAATTCAAACAACTACAGCTCGGAAACCAATGGCCAGATGAATCCGCAAATAACGTATTTGGAAAGTTAAGGGAATCTACATTTAAATGAGGGATTGAAAATCAAGCTGACTCACAAGGTCAAAGGTCAAACGGCCATATAAATGGGAATAGCCGAATTTTTGAGAACAGTACTTCGACCGCCATTCGGGCCACAGATCGACCACAGACAAAAGCATGAGTGTGTTTTTCGAAGACCTATTGCCCTATCTGTACACCTAATTTCACTGGCCTTGTATGGAGAATTTTGGAGAAAAATACAGAAATGTATTAATACTCGAATTTGGGGGAAAACGCTACTCCATGTGTTTTTTTTCTGTTTTCCTCGGTTTGAAGGCAAAAATCGGGAAATGTTCTCTGATAGATCGATAGGGAAGAGTCTCTAGAACGCAGGGACGCCCGAATCGTGTTCATACCTGAAAAGGTTCCTTCGGGAAGTTTATTCAAAGTTGTGCATTTTTTAAAGAAAAATCGCCCCCACTGGCCCTTAACAATACCATCGCCAGAATGCGACGCCAGACACATGTGGGTGAAAAATCACGCTAGAATTATTGATAGATCGATAGATATGAATCTTCGGAAGGAGTCAATGCAAAAATCACCATGATGTCCACCCGGACTCCCGCGAAATATTGTTAATTTACGTTTCGGACATGGATAAAAATCGCCCCCCCCCCCCACTCGTTTCTGCCAACGTTTACGCGCTTGCCACAGAATGCGAGCCCTGGCTCCTGAAAAGCAAAAATCACAAAATCTTCTCAGTTAGATCGATAGAAAAAACTCTCTGGATGGCAGTGAGACTTCGCTCGTCCCTTTGCAGTGGGTGGTTTGCTCAGAAAGTTCATTCAAACCAAAACGATATTTCGCCCCCCATTCAACAAAGGTGTCGAAAAACGTCCGAAATCGCATTTCTGACATATCTCGTGAAATTTTCTCCGATAGATCGATGGATATGAATGCTGGAGTGCGTGGATGCATTCATCTTTATGACGTATGATTTGATTTCTTCGGAAAAATTCATTCAAGCCAAGCGTTTCCGTCAGGATACGCACCGCTCGCCTCTACCGGAGCTTGGCTCTCCTCGGCGCGGCCCATCAGGTATCTCTGCAGAAAAATCACAGCATATTTTTCGACACGTCGAAAGCAAAGGGTCTCTCGAGTGTATCGATGCCCGAAACACCACCTTTTCTCTCCCTGCTCACTCCCGATGTCGTTCGTTTCCGACTGTTCTCCACCCCTCTCCTCCCTCCTATACGCTCGCGTCTCACAGCCTCCCTGATATGACTTCCATACTGAAATCTCGTAATATTCTTTGACAGATCGATGGAGGGGGTTCTCTGTAAAGTATGAACACACTCATGTTTGCAATGTCAGCGCCTCTCGGGCAACTTGCTGAGATTAAATTTCCATCTCGGTTATTCCATTATATCATTGGTTCCGATTACTCTTCTGGGGGAACAGTGGTAAAATGCAGTTTTCATTATCATGGAGTCCACGAAAAGACCTGCCAGGATTTACAGAAAAGGAATCGATCCCATGCTCAATGTAATGAGATGATTTTGAGTTTCAATTCTTTCGGCGTCCATCCCCGATCTACTAGAATTCCCCACGGTTTCTCGTTGCTTTGAGAAAATTTCCCGCGAGTTCTAATGGCACTAATTTAAAATGACTTTAGAACGTCCGAAAACACAAAAGCCTCTCTCAAGACCGCCCATTTAGCTAAGTGCCATTTTCGTTTATTTGCTGATTCGGTGCGCTGCTATATCAATACATTAATTCAAAGAGTTCGAAAGTTGTGTTAGTGATGGTAGTGGCTGACGCGCGAGGCCTACGAGACTGTGTCATTTTAGACCATAGGCTTGGCCTACCAACGTTCTTAGGGCCAGGCCCAAAGTGCTATGCCAGTCTGAGCCGAAGGCTGTGGCTCATTATTTCCATAGGCCTCATACTTAGTAGAACCCTTTGATTCACGCAACTGAATGCGTTTCCTGTTATTCAATGATAGACTGCAAGTTCTCCCTTTGAATACATTCTTTGTTGAAGTATTTTTTCTGTATTAATATTTTTCGCTAGGTCAGGCGTGGCGGCTCGCGCCTTCGCTTCAATGCAAGTTTTCTGTTTGCGTTTTATGTCTTGGCGATTTATTTGAGTCCTCATGACTGATGAAGTCAAAATACTGTAATAACATGGGTTCTTTGTTTCGAAGAATGTTGAAGGCGGTCCCACAGGACGGAGATGAAGCAGTTGCTGCACGTAAAAAATGATTGATGCTGGCGCGGAAACGTTTTGCCACTGCAGTTGCGGTGCGAAGTGCCTAAATCGGTGCTAGCCATAATGGCTAAAATGAGTGATGAACAGCACGCAGCCGTACCTAGGGAGTGTAGGGCCGCGCTCAGACCGTTGAACAGCAAGAGGCAGCGAATGCTGAGCTCAGGAAAAAGAGATTCGTAAAGCCTGCTGGGCAAATTGATGCAAGGAACGCAGCAATACATTCGCTGGCAAGGGGCTTTTAATCCGTTGCTCATGGTATGGGCTCCAGGTATCAGGGTTAGATGCGTCTTTTCAGTAGGAAGTTATTACCAAATACCATATAAGTTTCGCCGAGCAGAGAAACCATCTTTCGGGATATTCGATGGAAATTTACTATCAATTTTTGCATCAAAACTTGTCCTCGAATCATTCCTTGGGAAGCGTGCGAATTTATAATGTATGTTTTGTGTTGACGGAATCCCTTTCCACAAAAAAAAAGAATTGTGGGATATCCTCTACTTGGAAGAGGACGAATGGCGGAGAACCCTGAGCCCCATTCGAGGTATAACATAGCCCTCCTCCTCTCTCACCCACTTCCTGGCAGCGAACATGCCCTCACAAGTCGACATAGCAGGAAGACAGAAAGAGCTGAAATGAAGGGAAAATTTCCGCATTGAGGGCTTGGGTCCATTTTATGATACGTTTTTGCTCTCTGCATTTCCTACATGCGTATTTCTTAGGCCTGAGTCTGCGAAGCATTTCCGTCGTTAGGCTGGCTGAGCTAATCGATCAATACCAATTGTACTGATTGACCTAAGATGGGGATTGCCTTGCTTCCGTGTCAATAAATACAGGCAATTGGTTTAAATTACAGCCATAGCACCTGAGAGGAGAAATATTTTCCGATGGTTTACAGCCTCAACGCCTTATTGAAGCATGTTGTCTGGATTTTTACAAAGTATGTCATCTGGACATTGGGCGCATCGGGCCTGTCAACATGGGATGGCAGCGACCATGTCATAGTTGTATCCATCACTAGCATGGAGCAGCTCAAAAGAAGCACCTCGGTCGAATGCAGTGCTAAAACTGTTCGCAGAGTTCTGAAAGAAGCTGATCTGAGGGCAACAACCAAGCGAAAGAAGCCGCAACTCCAGCCGCGGCATATCCGACAGCGGCTAGAATTCGCCCGCCGCAACCAACACTGGACTGTTGAGGACTGGAAACGCATAATTTGGTCAGGCGAGACAAAAATCAACCTCATGATGTCGGATGGGCTTGATTGAACATGGAAATAGCCCAGTGAAGCCTTAGCAGAGCGGCATGCGAGGGAGACCCGCAAGTATGGTGGAGTTGACCTGATGTTTTTGGGCTGTATGATGGCCTAAGGAGTCGGGTTTGGCTGTCAAATCCACGGAAAAATGGATGCCAGGCTCTCTACAAGCATCCTCGAGGAAAAATTGCTCCAGACAATGGCGCATTACCGCCTCGAAGTGGGAGAGGTGGTGTTTCAGCAGGACAATGATCCGAAACACACCTCGCGGCCGGCTCGCCAACTGTTTCAGGACCATGGAATCGAGGTCCTAGAATGGCCAGCACAGTCGCCATACCTCAACCCAATAGAGTACTTGTGGCAACATTTGAAGCGGAGGCTGGCGAGGTACGAGAATGAGCCCGTCAGCATCCACGAGCTCTGACAGCGGGTCAAGACTGAGTGGGACGCCATTCCAGTCCAAACATGCTTGGATTTGATCGAAAGCATGCCTAGAAGGGTTTAGGCAGTGTTGAAGGTCAAAGGCAAGCACAAAAAGTATTAATAAATTCGTTTTTTCGTATGCCTGAGTAAAGAGACAAAACTGTTGCAATGGCCTTGGCGCTTTGAACAAGTGCTACTTAGGCAATAGGAGACCAATTGACATGTGACTAGTGCCAATCGAATGCTAGGAAGTAGGAGTATGATTGACTGAAATTAAAGCTAAATTGAACTCGTCATACTCGAGATATGAGTCACAAACTGGCAATGTGTCGAACATTGCAACCGTTTTGTCCCTCACTGTATATAGCTCGTATACTACTCCAAAGCAAGACTGATGCAATACGAATGCAATCTTTACTAAAGACTTCTCTCCGAAGGAATTCAAATTCCATAAAGGAAGTAAGAAAATGTTTTCTTTTGCCGAGTTCACGAGCTGAGTGAGAATGAAACGGCGATTCGAGGAGGAATGATCGACGTTGTGGGATATGGAGATGTATCATGGGGACATCCCCGAGCCACCACGGATACGAATATTCGCATTTTTTCCCTCAGACCGAGTCCAGATGGTTCGAGGGACTCAGGGTACATTCTCTCTGGATTGGATCGTGGGAGTCTGAATAAGCTTGCGGTCGACTTGATGCGATAAGTGCTTGACGAGA